TTAACAGCCACATTTTTTAAGATATCAAACTGATCCTTTGTACATGGCTTTTTACCAATCAATTTCCTCTTTAAATTGAATCGATGCCATTCAAGTTTATAATGATTTCTTTGATCAACCACATTATCAAATGTTTCTTGACAAAATGAACAAAAGAGTGAATCAGACACAGCTAGAGTTTGTAATTGCAGTAAAGTTTGTTCGGCATCTTCTGTTAATAAATGATATTGATTTAACAATATGAAATTGTTACTTTTAAATATAACTCAAATAAAAATTATTTTATAACATACGTTGATAATCATCTGAATTTTCATACAATCTGCAAACTTTTACCTTTTTACATATTGAGGAAAACTGTTCACTGTTATAAATTTTAATTGTACTTTGCGACATCTTATTAACCAAAATTATCAAACAATTTACAATACACATTAAACAATATGGGATGAAACTAACAAATAATTTTCAACAATGCGCAATACGGTGAAACTTTCGTAATAATATGTGCAACAAGAAATAAATTAGAGGTTAGTTTTTGCATGATTATGGCGTTAGAATTTGACGTTTAAATATTAGCAATGGCGGAATTTCAAATAGAAATTTATACGAAATTTGAGCAGTTTTATAAGTAGCAGCATTAAATTTAATGATTTTAGTTATGTTTACTGCGTATTTATTACATTTATTTTTGTTTACAATAATTTGTTAATAGATTCAATTTCCGTACTATAACCCAAAAAAAAATACACAAATGTGTTACACATCATTAAAATCTCTTAAAATATCTGATAATTTGATGTGCTATGTCCAATAAACATTTTTGACAGCCAAATGACATTTTTTAAATTATTTTATTGGGAGTCCATAACCGCGGACCTGCCTTCCAAAAATTTAATCAATTCTTCATCTTGTCAATGCAAGTTAAAATGTTTTTGAATTATTAAAATCGGACGCTCCGTTCTCTTAAAAAACTGAGTTAACGTTTTTGTCACTTTTGGCGCGTATCTTCGGATCGGCTAAACCTGCCTTTGCCAAATTACCTATCAGCACGTCTCCTTATCAATACAAACCAAATGTTTTTTGAATTATTCAAATCGGTTGATCCGTGTCCCTGAAATCGTCGACGAATTTGTATCCGCGCACACACACACACATACACACGTGCACACATACACAAACACATCCATTTTTTCTGAAGTATGCCTAAATGTTCAGAAATCTTCGAAACGTGAAGATATGCAAAAAAATTTATTTTCGATTTTCGGCCCATTGCTATAACTACCCTACGGGAAGTTAATAATAAAGTGAATGAATAAAAATTATTCTATTTGCAAGTTCTATTATAGATTTCTTAAATGCTATGTAAGTTAACAAGCCAAATAAATGTTATTAAAAATTTAGGTTTAATATATTTTTTATTATATCAACATTTGTATATACAAATTTATACAATAAAAATTTATATTCTTACCCTTTTTAAACCTTTTGCAAGTTTTTAATATTAAGTTATTTATTAGGCATATGTCATGTCTTAAAGCATACAGAATAGGCACATATATACATCTACATCTGATCAAAGTTATACATGAATTCTTTCATTAATTATCTCGAATTAAGATTGTTTCGAGTCAGGCAAACATATTTTCAACTTAAAAAACTATGTTAAAATATATCACTTTTGCAGTGTTCATGCATTCAACTTTGCACTTGGAACCGTAAAATTTCTTATTATCTATATTACTATAGTAGTGGTCAGAATTTCATTCATTCAATTTTTGGATTATAATTTTCTGGCTTATAATAATATGATGTTTATTAATCTATGCAGTCTTTTGTTCTCGCTGTAGGTATTCATTCCGGAAGCTCATGTTCATGATTCCACCAATGAGCGTCCGTAACCATACTGGTGGCAGCGATGTAAATGTGTACTGTGAAAATTGACACTTTAATATTATCAGATCTATTATAAAGATTAAATATAATGACTATCAATAGAATAATTTCACCTGAATTCCATGACTCCAATACCCTGTCGTACTATCAGTACGTCCTAAAGTCGCGACCGCATGCCGAGCGTATGTTCGCGCATCAGGAACAAGTAAACTAGCTGTTGAAATCCGGCTAGAAAAATGGTTCATTTTGGTTGACACGAAAAGTGGAGCCAAGTGCTGGACAGTAAGCCCATAATCGGCACATTCGAATCGTAAAGCTGCTGTGAAGGATTTCACATACACTGAGAATAAAAAAAATCAGTCCTTAGAAAGATTATATAAACTAGTTGGTATTAGTATTTGCCTTGAGGCAAGTTACATGATGTTCCCGATAAGTGTAAATAATCGACTTAATCATAAAAATAAATTAATTTATGGTGATTAAAAATATTCCGAGTGGATTCATTACACATAATTGAAAACGAACGAACACGTTAACTCGGAGTATTTTCTAAAAGCAATTTTCACAAATCAACAATTTTTATAATGGAACCAGTTTCCGTAGGACATTAATGGTTTAGTATGTTCATTAAGACCAAGTACTCTATCGTTATACCAAGTAAATCGTCTAATTTTGATTTTAACAAACGCCAATAAACTACTTATTTTCTCAAACTTTGATGAATTTTAAAATTAAAGTACTTGTCATAAGGCCGTAAAATTTCAGTAAGTTCTATAAGACCATGATATATTAGGTTGTCAAATATCTCCCTTCCGCTTTTTTGCTATTGGTTTATAATACAAAAAGGCGGAAGGGAGATATTTGACAACCTAATATATCGCAAAAAAGTTCCGTAAAAGTCGGCTTAAATTTTTTTTCAACAGTTAATTACAAGAAAACGGCTCGATAGATTTTCAACTAAAACTAATTAGTATCATTCCCAACTAATATCTTTTGAACAGTTTGTTTTTTTTTAAATCGTTTCGGTAGTATGGGCTTAAATGTGAACGAAAAGTTTAACACTTTTGTCCAAATTACAAAGAAACGTCTCTGCCGATCGCTGCTCAAGACTGAGAAAAGCTGCTTCATCGAGAAACATCAAATGGCTGTTAAATTTCTGAAATCGGTTTAGACGTTTTTGAGCAAACGTTGATGAAAGGTCTAATTTTGACAAATGCCAGAAAAACGATACTAATTTTTGCAAACTTTTGACGAATTTTTAAGTTAAACGAGTTGTCGTAGGGTCGATCATATTTTAGTATGATCTATAAAACTGTGGTATCTACCGTTAAAAAAAATCATAAAAATCGTCGAAACAAAATTTCAGCCCGCCCGACCGATCTTTGCCAAAATCGAACTAATCAGGTCGATTCCCAACCAATATCTGTCGAACGGTTTTTGAATTTTCAAAATCTATTCAGAATTGCGGGCTAAACCGTGGACGAAAGTTTTGTCACTTCTCTGCGATTCACAAAGAAACGGCTCGGCTGATCGTCGCACAAAACTGACAAACGATACATCAACATACATGGGATGGCTTTTAAATTTTTGAAATCGGTCCAGCCGTTTTTGAAAAAACGTCGATTTACGATAAAAAAAATATGTTCACACACACGCACACACACATACTTTTTCCAAATTTGGTCTAATTCGATTCAGAATGGCTTGAAACATCGAGAAAACAAAATTAGCGAATCGGATTTTTTGATGAAAACATAAACTTCTCCTTCGGGAAGTTAATTATCTCAATTTCTATAGTCATGATCGCAAATTTTTCGTTGGTTTCAAAATTTTCATTTATCATTTACCTTTGTTTGTGGCTGCATATACCGTCATCAATGGCAAAGGTTGCAGCTCAGAACCAGATGAGACATTGACAATGGCACCTTTTTTCCTTTCTTGCATTTGTTTTAAGACCATTCTGCACATGGAAGTAACAGCTCCTACATTTATGTTGACAATGTCCCAAAGATCTTGCTCTGGTACTTCGCTCAGATACATTGGATATGAATACTGTTTCCCTACATTGTTAACTGGAAGAACAATATTAGTACACTTCCAATATTTATAATAGTTGGAAATACTTATGTGCCAATTGAATCAAATAATTCGAATCATTCTAAACAAACCTTTAACTACAAACTGAAACATCATTTATAAATATTAACCTTATGTTCAGCAAACACGTCCTCGCCGTTTCTTATAAAATTAAAAACTAAATTCTTACCTAATATTCCAACTGGAATTCCAGAAAGTTCATTTTCTATATGTTTATATATTTCCTGACCTTTGCTGAAATCAGCCACAATAGTTTTGTCTTCACAGGATATTGTGATTTGAACATAAAATAAGAAATGAATCAAATGAATTCAAAATAAATTGACCAAAATATTTGTATCTAGATTAAATGATTTTCTTATTTATTCTGCTAAATTTGGCAGCTTTCTTATAGATGTTGAAGCATACTTTATTAATTAGTATTTGTTGAATATTTATTTAAATTATTATTGCTAATACTTGGAAAATTTTTAAATAAAATATTAAGGTTTTTATGCCAATCAAAAACTCTGGCATTGAGTCATCATTTCTTCTGAATGGAATATCTCATTACATTTTAGTATTAATTTTATATTACATGAGCAAATGAAATAGCCTTCGATTTAAATGATAAATGCGGAAATACCTTGAATCTCACTAAATGTTTTAATATAGTACATCTTTAGATTTATGTAATTTAGAGAGGCAATTTATTTACAAATAAAGGAAGAAAATAATTTTGAGAATAATGATGAAAATTAAAATCATTTAAAATTTATACTCCTAAATTTTCAACTCCTAAAATTCAACTTCACAAAATAAACGTATTATTGAAAAACGTATATTTAATTCAAATACAACGTTTGTTTAGATCTTTATCTATTTTATTTTGAAATTTTTGCATACTTCAAATTTCAATATCTTTTAGAAGATTTTAGTTAGAGTTAATATCAAAATTACAATAAGCTGCATTTGTCTTAAATATTTCAATTTAAAAGATTATGCAAAAATAATCCGGATCTATAATTTATACAATTATAATTAATACAATGAATAAATAAATAAATAAAAATTATAGCTGTATTAATTGTTTTTGGAATCTTACTGAAATAATATTTATTACTATTAAGTAAGCAATGTACAGTTCTTTTACCTTATGGTGAACAAATGTATTAAATAGGATGTAAACTAACAAAAATATAGTCAAAGTGAATATTGTTTATAATATATTGTAATGAAAACTTAATTTTCCTTTCAAAATGATCGATTTGTATAAAAATTGCATAAGTTTATGATAAATTATAGTTGATCTACAGGTTCACCATTGACATGCAGAAAGCCTTGTGTAAAATGATGTGAAGAAAAGTTGATATATGTCAAGTAAATTACTTTTGATATAGTCATTAGGAAAAATAATATATAAAAATTAAGTTAAGCATTATACAGCAAAATGATATCAAGTCTAACTTATTTTAGCATATGATTCCCAATTACAAATACACAACAGTTATTCCATAGTTGAGCCATCTTCGTTGATTTATAAGTATCTCAAACTTAAATTTCTACCTATTTTTTACCTATTTCATTGGCGACTATTGTCAATTTCTCCAAAGTTCTGCTGATCAGGACGATGTTGAGACCTTTTCTGGCCAACTCCAACGCATATTGTTTTCCTATGCCGTCTGTTGAACCAGTCACCACTATAAAACAAGATCATAATGATTAATTAATTAAATTGATCAAATGTCTATAATTGATAAACTTAATGAAAATAAGAACTAAAATCAGTTGGATCAAATGGATCGAGGAGAAGGAAGGATATAAATTAGAAATAGAGTCACACTTTCTGAGCAAAATTTTGTGAACAATGTCTATCTTACTTATTAGAGATATATATTTATCTATTTTATTTCAAAATTTATGCATACTTCAAATTCAATCAAATGTTTAGAAGATATTGTAAGAGTTAATATTAAAATTACAGTAAGCTGCATTTGTCTTAAACATTTTAATTTAAAAGAGCTTTATGCTTTGGTATTGGTATTATGAAGATATAATGACTGTGTTAACCAAGTTTTATGTTTATTAAATAATATTCTTGAAATCGTCGTATATGTGAGTGTATATATGTGGTGTATATGAATGTGTGTATATGTATGTTTGTATATATGTGTATAGAGTATAAAATATTTAATTAGATGCTGATGTATGAAATGCAATTGCGTGCATATGTCAATCCGAATGCATTAAAATTAAGTAATGTACAATTGCGCCAACAATCATGGTCATAAAAAGTAAAATCCAAAAGAGCACAACTGCTTCAGTATGCGATTACAAAGGTAGATATTGACTACTGATAAATTTATTTTGTTAAAAATAATATAAAACTAGTTGTGCATGGCATCGTGCCTTATGGCAAACTGCTTGGAACTTCCCGTACCGTATCGAAATGATCGAGGAATATAAATGTTTTCAAATAGATTATTATAAATACTGTAACATTTTCTAATAGTTATATAAATTATATGAACTGAATTACAAAGTTGAAATTATTTATTCAAAGTATATAGTCAGCTTTAGAACTTAGCCAGAATTAAAATTCAAATCTGAATTATTTTCGATATACAAAAAAATTTAAAATAATTTTTTTTCAGCAGAATGTCTTTTGGATCATTCAAATCGGATACTCCGTTCTCTCATAAACTCGGTTTCTATTTTCTGCACTCTTTGCTCCGTATCTCCGTAACGGCTAACCCTGCCTTTGCCAAAAACTAATCAGCACATCTCCCTATCAATAGGAATCGATTGCTTTTTGAATTTTTCAAATCGGTTTATCCGTACGCCCGAAATCGTCACACACACACATCTATTTTTTCTGAAGTATGCCAAAATTTTCAGAAACCTCTTAAGCAAAACTTTCATTATCGGGAAGTTAATGATATAGCAGTTGCAATTTAAGATATGTCGATATAAAAATAAAAGAAAAATCTGCATTTACTCAGAATCAGTGAATGTTCTACACATTACCCATGATGATAAAAATAGATTGATCACAGGTTCATGAGGTTATTATTTTTATTTTATAAAGAGTTTATCTTCCAATGAAGAAATTAGTATAAATTCGTTATTTTATTAAACAAATTGACACAGAAATATGAAAGCGATGATGCAAGCAAAGAAAGTAAAATCCGCGCCTAATAAAAATCAGTTACAGAGACGTCTCAAGATTAACATTTCTAGTAATGCCCAAAAACTTTTTGTTCATTATTGGAAAATTTTACACTTGTCCTGAAATGGACAAATAATTAAATCTGTACAAATAAATTAAAGACATTTAAATAAAAGACCATTGTCAGAGATTTCAAAAATTGACTTTGAAATGTTGGGCACAACATTTTCAATTTTGTCCTGATAATGTTGTGCCCAAAACATGTCAAAAATATTTCATGTTGATTTGCTGTCTAGATATAACATATTTCAATTTTATATTTATGAACAATTAATATTTATGTTAACTACATATCAATTATTTACATATAGTCGGATATTTTTTGTAGTAAAATCATGTAAATCGATACAATTGTTGCATTAATAAATGTTTACCATATTATACTTGTATTGAGTTATTGGGTCAATGTTATGTTTAACACTAATAGAGATTTATGTCGTGAAATGTTTATTAATATTATTGCTACAAACTTTCAAATTTTCTCTCTAACTATATGCAATTATCGATCTTATATAAAATTTTATTAAAAATAGGATAATTACTAAACGCTAAATTTGGTAAGTGTAATTTGGAGATGTAATGGAGTATCTAATTGATTGAATCTATATACCTATCTTATTGCTGAACTATTTTTTTTATTATTCAAAATTTATACCTGTCCTGAAATGAACAACATATAATATATAAAATATATAAATCCGTAGGGAAAAAAAATTAAAGTCTTCTGACCATTGTCAGAGAATGGACTAAAATGATAATTTATAAATGGATAGAGTACCAAAGAATGGAATAAAATCTTATTTATTTGAAGTACTCCATTAAATTACCTACTATAAAATCATTTTATTATGAAATTAAAAGTAGAATTGCGAAAGCATTTTTACTTGACTTCAACAAGGATAATACAGATAGATATCGATTTTTGATAGTTTGACAAAAATTTTGTATTCACAATAATCTTGTTCACTTGTATAACTTGTTTTCAATGGACTTTAAGATCCCTATGATATTTTCATCAGCCAAAAAAAAATTTAAAATGATTTAATAATAATAAAATAACTTAATATTAAATTATGGTGTCTGGAATAATATATTTAAAAAATGTATAATGTTTTATATTTAATTTTAGAATTATTCATTTATATTTTGAAGGAAGGTAAACAAATGATGTTAGTTTCTACAATTCCATCAAAAGAATCATTTTTATAAAAAACTAAAAAATGAATTATTTGCAGAACTCCTGTTTTTGTATGAGTTATTAGTTGAAATATCTCTATAACAATTATTTTTTTAAATAATCATTCGCATTTATATTTCGTACCTGACAAATAAGCAAAGTCGGTCTCGCCAAGAGAAAGCTGAGAGTCTGATGGAGTTAAAGTCGTATTGTTTCAAGGCGGTTCATGATCTCACTTTAATGTCAAATATCTCTCAGAAAAGTTCTTAAGAGTTAAAACATTGATCACAAACACTCAAACATACGATTACAAGACATAAAAAATGAATAAAATAAATAGCTTTGTCTGTATCAATTCATATGTGAAAGCAACCACAGATCCTTTCAATAGGTCTTCGGCTTAATAATTTCTTTAATTAATTACAAAGGTTAGTGTTCCTAATAAATCTAATATAATATGTTCGATAGCCTTGAACTGAATACATACACCGAATTCGAATTGATCGTGGTATTGGCCGCATAATGCTAACCGAAAAATTTCATAATCGAAAAAATGAATAAAACATTATGTGGCGGCGGTTATTTATTATATTGCTGCGGCAAAAGTAAATAAAAATTTTCATCTTTGTAATAGAAACCGTATTTGAACTACATTAATAAATGAACTATAAATAATTGAATTCATAATCAGTATTTGCATAATTGTTCTATTTTTATTCATCGTAGGCTTATAATAATTAAGGAGCCCCGTTTCGACTAACAACCGTGTGAAGTAATACCGTGTAAGTAAAAAAACTTGATTGAAAAGTTCGGCAGAATTTTCAAAATGATCCATAGAATTGCAAAGTGCCACAAGTAGCTAAGAATTTTGTCCACATACATAACACTCTAATAATAATTGGATTGCATTACATTACAACAGTTCATAGAATTCTAGGAATATTTCTGACTGCTGTTCATAATAGTAATAATAATATTTCCACAAATTATAACATCTGATCCTTTAATATATCAACTAAACATTTATATGATGCAGTATACATTTATACTATAAAGAATATCCAATTTTAATTAAATCTTAAGTACAGCCAAAACTCAATAAATAGAAATCTATCTTACCAAATTTTGCAAGTGAAATCATTCATTTGATTGCATTTACAATTTTAGGATGTCAGAAAAAAAGCTATAATATAGAACCATATCAGTCATATGTGTTTTATAAAAAATAGTGCTTTTTCCGGGATATTTGGTAAAACAATGTTTTTTTCTTTGATATATTTTGTACCCATGTGAACATTGTTCTGTTATTATCGTAACGCCGGACGGCACCTAAAGCCGGACACTCTATTTAACACGTATTATTTAAGCCAGCATAAATCTTTTTACTTCAAAATACAAGTGAAAGGGGCGTGGGGGGGGCACACAGGTATAGGATCATGCACCAAGACTCACCTGTGACGCACAATGTATGATGATTTTGTAAAAAAAAATATTTTAGATTTAAAAATAACTCAAAATGTAAAAGATTGTATGATAAATATTTTATATTACATTAATGCAAAAATAAATTTTGGTATATTTCCAGATGAAAAACAAAATCAAGTTCATTCCATTTGATTGTTAGACTACTATGGAGAAAGTATACTTTTAATAATTTCATCCAAGCGCGAAATGCCAATGTTTTAAAAACCAATATGTCATGGAAAACATTGTATTTATTTATTCGAAATAATTTGATTTTATGTCAGATAAGTTACAAGTCACTCATAGCCGAAATCATGAAAATAATCGACAAACTTTGGAAACCATTCGTTGTTGTTGCAGATTTCCAAAGATGAATAAATCAAATTGAGGCAGTCTAAAAATATTATTACAGAGGTTTAAATATAATTTAGCTTTATTATACAACAACGTAATTAAACGTAAAGGATACCCCTTGAACTTTAATTTATAGACATCAAATTTAATTTGACTATTATTTTGGGAATTATTCCTAAATTAAATATAAAAATAGTTATCAACGTTATTCGAAAAAAAAACATTTTTATTATATATATATATATATATATATATATATATACATATATATATATATATATATATTGATATTTATAACTAATTAATCTAAAATAATTTTTATCCCATAATACACAAGCATAATAAAGTCATTCATTTTTTAAAAACTGCACCCTTGAAAAATATCGTTTATTAATATCTGTTGAAATTCTTTACGACTTCAAGTCATTATAAGACTTGATTAAATATTTAAACAGTTGATCAAATATTTATTTTTTAAACGATTATACAATATACAAAATTTATATGTTTATTTTATTACTTCATAATTCATTTTTTGTTTAGTCGAAAGATAAATCTTTGGCATTTTTCTCAATCAATCCCTTTTACTCGCAAAATACTACTAATTATGGAAATTTGTTTATATTGTAATTAAACAAAACCAATAAGATGAAAAAAAAAACTATCAAAATATAGTTATGACATGTGTTTATAAACGAGAGATTGTACAACTTCATTCACGAGCAGGTAGTATTAAAATTTCATGGTTACCCGGAAGATTTTAGGCGTTTTTTATTTATCATTATTTCAAATCTTTTTGTCCGAGATACACATTATTTTGATAGTTATTATAGCTCTTGATATCAGGAAGTTAAAAATGATTTATGAACGGAATTGTAAGCCACAGAGTTCAAATGGGATATGTTTCAATCATAACTTGGTAAATTGATAAATCATTAATAAATTAGTATTAAGCCTCCATTATTACATAGTTGATTTTGTGTTCAAATTAATCTATTTCCGAATTTGTACAACAATTTTCAATGGATTTTAAGCTTTCAACTCTTCAAAAACGTCATCACAATGAAACTGGATATAAAAATTGTCAGTAACATTTTTTTTTGATAATGTCTTTATAAAATTATTTCAGTTTTTAAAGCTAAGATTTATAAAATAAAAAAAATGAAAATCGAAGTCGATTGAAATATAATTTTTGGATGTTTTGAGTAACTGACTTTTAAAAATAAAAATTCCAAAGCTACCCCTATAGGAATTGAGTATTAATTAGAATCCGAAATAATCATGAATAAGAATTTATTGTGGCTTGTCACGTAAATGCCACAAAATTAATCATAATTCCAAATAAAAGAACAAATAAAAAATAAATTTTTACTATAAAAAATTTCAATTATTTTACAACTCACCAGCCCAATCTCCATACCGTTCGCGCAATGTTCGTGCTTCTTGTGGCTGGAAAAATGGTGCTAAAATCGACCTGACAGCCTGGATCACACTCCATAAGGTTTCTCCTAACCAGAGCACCAAAGCCACAAGACCAAAGATTGCCAAAAGCACCAGGATCATTTTTGGGAATAATGGTTCTGAAATAGGTAGACAAAAATAAGTATATTAGCCTGGATAATCAATAAAATATAAAACCAGAATATTAGCTTTTTATGGAAAACTAGTAATTTTTAATCAATGCTTGGTATGTTGATATGTGACATTTCTTAAAATAAAATATTAGGTGGTAAATCAATATCTTATTTAATATTGAAAATATCCTACAACATTTATATTAACCATATATCACCATATAGTTGATTACACCTTCTTCTATTCAGTGAAGCAAAGTTCTATAAACAATTTAATAAATAATATTATGAAAATTCAAGCCAAACTCAATTTTATCATTTTACTCTACCTGCATTTACCCATTTATAACTAATTAAATTAGACAACAGATTATTATTAATTAAATTAATAATAATCTGTTACCAAGTATGAAGAAAGTCCTATAAAATTTTTAATAGCCAAGGCTATACAGATTATACATATTAATTATAAATGTGTATAATAACGCAACTTTGTTTTGAAATGCTACGTTTAAGAGCAAGGATGTTGTATACAGGAAAATGTGGTCAATCATTGATTTGGCCATGAATTTTCAAATTAAATCTTTTGAAATGTTTACAAGCATCATGCAATTGCAATGGTAATAGATAGAAGACGAATAACATACGCTCACATATCATTAATAATAATATGCATAAAGAAATCTGATGAAATGTAAAAAAAATAAACTAGTGGTGTATGGCATCGTGGATTGAGGCAAATTGCTGGAACTTCCCGTACCGTAATTTAAAATCTTGGTACGGAACCCAAAAAAATCACACAAAATGTGTACACATTATGAAAATTTCTATAAAAAATCTGATAATTCGATGTATATATGTCCAATAAACATTTTTGACCGCCAAATGATTTTTTTTAACTTATTTTTATTGAGAGTCCATAACCGCTGGACCTGCCTTCCCAAAAATTTAATCAGTTCTTTATATTGCCAATACAAGTAAAATATTTATTCAAATCGGTTGATCGATGCTCCCAAAATCGTCGACGAAAATTTGTATCCGCACACACACACACACATACACACAAACACACCCATACATCCATTTTTTCTAAAGTATGCCAAAATGTTTAAAAATCTTTAAAACGTAAAGATATATAAAAATTTTCATTTTCGATTTTAAAAATATTTGTGGAAATTTAACAAAAAGCTTACTTTATAATTATTTCTGTTATACAAAGTCGTCTTTTAAGGCACAACTTAGGCAGTGGTACGACTTAGGCGGTGGTACGTCTTAGGCGGTGGTACGACTTAGGCGGTGGCACGACTTAGGCAGTGGTACGACCTTTTGCCCTAAATATGTTTAACTTTTTCATAGAAAATAATAGTATAAAGCTTCTGATATCATGTTAATCGCCACGATAATATCAGAAAAATTTTCACATGGCCCATGGTAACTTTTTTAGATTTGCAGATAATTTAGTTAAAAATGTATCAAGAAAACCTAATGTATCAGAGAATTTTTTTATCAAAATTTCTGAAAAACACCTGTTTTGATGTGACGCATATATGACTGACATGGCCATATATTAAAACGTTTTGTCCTTTTACTAAATTGCGTATGTCAGACTTATATGTCTGACATATAAGTCTGGCTCATATAGAACTTTTTAGCTTAGTTGCCGTGTTATACACAAAGTGGATAACAAAGCCATCCTAGAGAAAAATACAATGAAGAACAAGGCTGTCTTGTATAGAACGTAATTGCTTATTGCTGTTTATATAAATGACTAGTCCTAAGCAATTATGTTATCAATTATCAATGCTAACTCGACGCATGCTTTCACATAAATTGAATGATTTATTATACTTAAAGGTGAAACATTTATTAAGATTTCAAAATATCCATAATATTATTTTCGTTTAGAATAAAATTTTGATAAATTCCATATTCATATAATATTTTTATGAAAGTACAAATGTTAATCAAACCCACGTAAGGTACCTCGTGCAATGTATGCAATACCACCGTCAATGACAGATCGCCGATAATTTCAACCACAAAGTTATGAAAATCTTCAAGAACTTTAAATGAAATTTTGCAATTTTAATGGAAATGCTTATATATACATATATCTGTACATATACATATTTATTTATACAAATTCTTATGGTAAAGTTTATGTTATGGCTGGTATTTAAGAAAATATATTTTTAATAAAAATGCTGTTGTATCAATTTAGATTTGACAACTTAATCCACCACTAAATATATTTAAAAATAATAACCAGGGCAGGATCAACCGTATTAATTATACCAAATTCCCTGGGGTCATGGGGGCCGCCAATTTAGTATACTAGTAAAAATATTAATAATCAATTAAGTTTTGAATCAATGCAAAAAGAGAGAATATATATATATATATATATATATAATATATACTAGATGACCTGACAGACGTTGTCCTGTACCCACGTCTACAATTCAAAAGTTCCAAATTTTTTAATAATCTATCCTAAACTTTTTCATGTTCTATTTGATGTCCTGCCTTTGTGAATAATTTATAGTCTTAGCATAAGAAATTCAGAAAAAAATAATATATTATCTGCGGTAAAAGAACAATATCTCACTTGATTTACACACAACATAATCGCTTCAATAATTTAATCTATATTCTGATTTTTTTTTACTGTACTCCAATTTGTATGAATTTTTGGAATTCGGTTCATCTTATTACTCTCAAGTTCAAAGGTGAAAATAATTTAGACTGTTTTTCCACTTTCCGGGGGGATGACATCCCTTCTCAGTAGTGAATTTTATTTTTTTTCACAATAACGTCGGATATCGATAAAAAAACTAATTATAAGAGAAAAATGTTTTGTGTTTTTCAAAAAAGCGAATACTTTTCCAGTTACTGGCTACTGAAAATTCGTTTTTTGGCGTTTTTCATTATTTTTTTTTTTTGCAAATATCTCCAAAAATATACATTTTAACGAAAACCATGTAATGAACAAAATTATATCAATTATAATCTTAATAAATCGGTATTTTATGACGTGTCCTAGGAACAATACAGCTACTTATGATAAAGCTCGAATAAAATGGAACTTTTCAATTGTAGACATGGGTACAGGACAATGTATGTCGGGTCATCTAGTATATATATATATATATATATATATATATATAATTTTTATAATTTATACTGTGTAAAGTATGTCCGGACTTCCATTTATGTATTGTCATGTTCAGATGCAACTTTCTCTCAAAACCACTTATAAGATGCTCAGACATAGTGCAAATTAATTTCACAGATCTTACAATGCAATTTCACCATTCAACAAGCATTCAGATATACAAATGTCAGTAACGAAAGCAATTTGAAACTATTTCCTTCTACTGAAATAATTAAAAGATTCTAAATGAATTAAAACATACTGAAAACTTGATTCTATCAAAATTCAAATACAGTGATCTGCATGTAAACATTTTTATGATGTTATTTAATCATGAAATCAGTAATTAGCATATTTAGTAGATCGACAAAATATTCATGGCCTGTAGTAAAAAATATGAAAGTGAAATGCGTAATAACCATATAATATCATTTTAACGATATATTTATCCGACACAATCTACACATAAAAATCAACCACATCTACACACAAATTTATTAATGAATGAGTTCATATTGTCTTTTATAACCCGGAAAAAATAAATCTATTTTTATCGAGTAATAGGTATAAAAATTATCATACAAAGCATTTATGATGCTCTGTAAAATAATTAATTTTGCAATGAATTATTATTCCCGGTCTATTACTTCATACATGGAGTAATTTTACAGCAGTCTTACATAAAGATCAGTATCTCCAACGCCTCGTAAAGCAAAGCTCTTGTAAAGATCACATCACATGCAATATTTAATGAAAAAGCTTCATTAATGACCAGCTAAGTATAAGTCATTCTTAATGTTATATTGCATTCTCATGCAGAAGTGCATTATCACGAAATATCTAAGAGATTGTGTAAAAAAATATAAACTCAGGTAAGTGATTCTAGAAAGCCATAATTTTATCAGATTATTTCTGGACTGGCACAAAAGCTGAGAAAAAAGCAATTTGGTTGTACCGTAAGAGCATAATTTCAAAATAATATTAAAAATAAAATAGATCAACGAAGAAAAAATTACATCATGTTTCTAACCAAAATTAATAAACTACCATGCGTTTTATATTTATACTAGATGACCCGACAGACGTTATCCTGTACCCACGTCTACAATTCAAAAGTTCAAAAATTTTTAATATCCTATCCTATACTTTTTGTGTCCCAGTTTGACCTTTCTTTCTTTGTCAGATAAAAGACAAATTATTTGAAAAACATAAAAACCACATTCAGTGAACAAAAATCTTGATTAACAGTCATAATTGTAATACAGAATAAAAAAAGTAATTTGAAATTTAAATTAAAAATAATACATAAACGAGCACTATTTTTTTCTTATCTAATATATGAGATCAAAACGAAAAATATGAAAGTCTATAAATTTTTCTTTCAGATATATAATTTTTTGTCTACTATCTGGATAAATGTCCTATTACAAAGCTCTTTTATTTTTACTTAAAAACAACTAATATTTATTACTATTATTATGAATATTTGTTTAACATTTGCAATAATTATTATTAAAATGAAGAACCTAAAATATTTTATTAGCAATTGAATAAAAATCATGCAGTTCTCTAAAATATCAAAAATTTACTACTATCGATATGAAAATATCTTTTATATAAATAGACAAATTCTGTTAATTAGAATAGTTAACAAAAAATTACGGTAAAAATAATTAGTTTATTGATATTGCCTACAGACAAATAATTTTGAACCAACTTTGTAGTATTTTCTATAAAAATATATTTTAATTTAATTAACTTCTACTTCCATTCAATTAGTTAAATTTAACTGATGTTCAGTTTCACACTGTACCTATCAAATTTTTTTAGTTTTA